GAGTGGCGTAGTCTGACTCGGCCGAAGGTGGGGACATGTTCAAGTGGCGCTTGGGCAGCCGCCACTACCTGGACGCACATGTGTGTGTCCGAGTGGAAGTCGGTTAAGTCTTTGCGGGTCAGCGCGTCTGAAAGCACTGACTGAGGTAGTGGGCGGCCTTGAGACAGCTGGCCTTGAACAAGGACGCCGGACAAAGCAATGTTTGTCGTCGGCTCTACACCTTATTACTTAATTCGTGTATCCTTGTGAGTAATGCCAATCTGTACTACGAATTTTATGGAATTTCTTAAATATTGAGTCGCTAGAACGTGTTTATTTCGAGCGGGCAAGCTCACTCGCATTTTCATGGGCTGCTGTGGCATGCTGGATTGGTCAGACGGTCTTCCACTTACCACCTCAAGTGCGCTGACCTTTGTGCCTGTATTTTCGTATTTTTTACCTTCCTCAGCGCGGCTTTTTGGTCAACGACGCCTCCTTCTGCGTTCAAGCGGCTCGCGACCTCGAGTATCGAACTCTCCAATCCAGCTGTTCCTCCCTCCAATGTCTCCTCGGGGGCTCCATTCTTGTGGCCAGACCGCGCAGAGATGCCAGGTGCCTCGTTAGTAAAACTCTGTCGGCAGCTAAAATCATGACTGCATGGCTTCGTCCAGGTTCCGGCTGTTTAGACGTTGAAGTTATTGCTGATGGGCCGGTCAAGGTCCTAGTCATTTCCGATCATTATGAAGAACCTTTACCCACCGTAAGTTTTAATTTTACAAACCACTCCTACTGAGCGTTAACCAGTAGTACGGTTATCATTTTATATATCCGGCCAGGGGTGCTAACAAGCCGCCTGCAATCAGCTCGTATTCTTATCATTATTCAATATCATTTAATTTTGCTCTTGACCGTTTTTCAGACCTCTCTACAATCAATTCGATCTCGTCTTTCATCCTCGACACTGGATACTAACCGTACTATCAATCCTACATCACTCAAGGTAAGTTAAAAGCATAAGCTCGCCAGGAAAGATGGTGGGCTGTTCTGGTAACCTTCGAAGGAATAATAAAATGCCGCCTGTATATGTATTCATGAATAAAAAAATCTTAATCACGATTGGGTACCTGAGTAAGTTCAAAGTGGGAATTCGCAAAAACTGCTCCTGTTGCTATTTTGCCTCGACGATATTGAGGAGAGTTTCTGATTGTCTTTCATTGTGTTTTGCTAATTAGTGACAACAGTCTGTTCTGGCAGTTAATCGAACGAGCATAGGCAGTTGTGCGCACAATAAGGAGAGATTTAGGATGACACTGGCGTCGGTAATCCAAGCAAACCCTTTGTGCATGTGCCTCACCAATATACGGTTACTTGTGATTAAGAATTCTCGACAGAATCCCATCTAAATGTACTTACCCGGCGAGAATTTATCGAAAGCCTACGTACGCTCGCCAATTACTCTTCAAAATCCGAAACATCAGGCTAATAAACTTCTTGTTCCAGTGATCGTATCTTCTTCTAAACCGTCATCTGCCGTCCACGCCGATAACCCCCTCAACCATCGGGACTTCGGCCTATCGACGAGCCACCCGCACCAGCTAGCTTTCTCTATGGTTTTTTGTGGCTTCAACGTGGGGACTAATCGTTGCAGCGTTCAGTGTATAAGCTGCGACATTTGCTTAAGCCGCGAGATGCTGGACTCATTGAAACTTTTAAATCTCCTGTGAGTGTTATACGACTATACCTAAATAACTACTGTATACATTTGAGTAGGCGTATTTATGCTTACTACGGCACCGCCACCACTGAAATCGTTAGCTTCCTGAGGCCAAATCCTGATAGCGCGTTCCCTTGTTGGATATGATCACGGAATTGTCGCCATTGTACTCTGTGTTTTAGATAACTGGGACTCTTTTGGAAGTTATTTCGCTCCTACGTCAAATAGTTTCCGTTTTAGACTATATTTTGCTCCTCCTGGACGTCTTCAAGTCCCCATTTTTCCCCACTCTTTATTTAAATCTTGCTATATTTTCGTTGTTCTCATCGTCTCCCTCCTCCCTATACACGTTTTTTG